ACAAACTGAAAAGACCCAAAGGTTCATGGCTGGGTTTCCATGCACGTGGCCTGATGTCTTAAGACCCCCCCCCCAGCAGCGCTCGCATGCCACGCAAAGCCAAGGATTGTGAACCGCAGCGGTCGAGTTCACACGGTTCTGACGACCCACCTTATCGGAGGGGAAATGCGCAGCCGCGGGCAGAGTTAATTGCCTTGAACGTGTGGCCTGGCAGGTCCATCTCTCGAACCAGGTGGGAAATCCAGGATTTTGATCCAGCTGTGGAAAACTGCCCTGGCTGATGTGGCTGGCTGTTTAACTCGCCTGGGGTGATCAGTAGGGCTTTCCATCAGATCCCCCCGAAACTCTGGGCTCTGCAGAGCCTAGGAGGAAAGAGGGGTGTGAATAAGAGCTCCCCACCTAGGAGGAGCTGTTAATGGATTTCTCTTCCTCCCTGAGTTTTTCTGCCCCCCCCCCTTTTAAAGTTCCCAAGCTAGGGGCTCTCCGGGTCTTTTTTGGCAGCAAATTGCACCAGCTGGTTATGCATTTTAAACGGGCTGCAAAGGCCATTTGCAGAAGCTCCCAGAATTTGGGCTTGACATCTTTTGCTTGTTGCTGCTGACCTTGGGTTTGAGCCCCCACCCAAGGGGACCGTGCCGACCGCGGAGGAAGAGGGAGAAATGGGTGCAGGGTCCCAACCACCGGAAACAGACAGTGGTTTCTCTCTGCCGATGCTGCAGACGCCGATTTCAGGAGTGAGAAAGACAAGTTGCATGATCTGGTCTCCGCTCCCGCTTAGCCCAGAAGGGTTGGTGGGAACTGCAGTTCCCAGAATTCCTCAGTGAGCCTTGCAGCCCCAGCACATCTGGAAGCTGCTACTTTGGAGCAAAGCGGCGTGGCAGCTGTAGACTGGATTCATGCTTGGTGCTAAACTATGGCTTGCTTACCTGGTTTATTTAATAAACCACAATTAGCTGGTTTTGCACATGACTGCAACCCATAATCTATGGTTTACCAGCCCCCCCGCACGCTGAAATAAGCCCGTTACAGATTGGGGAGTTGATGAACCTGGTTGTATGTTTAACTTTGAAGAAACCTTAACCCAAGTAGTTTTCACACTGTTCAGTGGACCCTAAGGGTGCTTGATGGGGTTTGATAAGAGACTGAGATTTTTTTAAAAAGTTTTTTTTAATTAAGTTTATTTTTTTAAAAAGTTCACTTAAACACAATTTCCCATCACTAGAGCTTATTGGGCTCCAGAACTTTTTTTTTTAACTGGCAGGTTCCACAGCCCGAGAAAGTTTGAAAATCCCTAATCTAGAGCACCAGAACCAAGCAGAGCTCCCAATTATTCTATTCCAGGTTTTCACCCCAATCAGTCTTCACGCCATAATCCCTCTTTAGGGAAGCATTTCTTCCCCAAGCTCAGAGGTCTTTCTGCCGGTTCCAAGCTACCGTCTCCTCTCTTTACGATTCTGGACTTGCACGTTGATAAGTTGGTTGCTTTCCATCAGCTGGGATGTGGTGTAAAGCAATGGTGTCTGGCTAGAGAACCAGTCATCTCCTGAACTTCAGGAGCCATAGGCTTTGATGGCCCCGAATTGACAACTCTAAATGATATCGGGATGATTTCTACCCAGGAATTTTTTTCGGTTCTGATTTAGGCCCCCCAAATGCTGTTACTAATTTTTGGAGGAAGTGCAGATCCTTACGTACTGCAAGTTCCCCAAAACAATGCTCATCACTGCTCTGTATTTTCAGAAAACTCCCATGGATTGTGTTCACACCAATTAAGCTGTCATTTGCTCTGCCAGTTAGTCAATGGATCACGTTTGGTTGGGTTTACACCATATGCTGCGCTGCAAACCACGTCGTGGCTTAGCATAGGTAGGCTTAGTGACCGTGCGCTGTGGAGGGGTGAAGTGGGTCTTGGGCGGATCTCCGACGGGATGGGGGCTAATAAGAGGCTTCGTGATCTCCAGCACAGCTGCTGTCCAGCGACGTGTTTGGAAACTCCTTCCTGGTCCAGACAAAAGGGAGCAGGAAATGGGGTTTGACGTTGGCCAAGATGGGAAGGGCTGGCCACGTTGTAGCCAGGAAGTTATCCCAGCTGGATTGCTGAGCCAAATGAGTGGGGGGAAGAATGGGTCCGGAGCGAGACAGGCGCGCATCGTGGAAGATGCTGGCTTGGCTCGGCCACAGGGTTCCGTATCTGCAAAGGCTTTCCTGAACGCCGGAGCATCCTTTCAGCCACACCTGGTGGGCAGCTGAGGCTGGTCCCCTCACGAGCCAAAAGCTGAGTTAGCCAAGGTGCTCCACCCTCAGAAAAGGAGATGGACGCCTCGTTGAGAGCCCGGCTGTGTCCAGCCAGTGCCTTTAAGCAGAGTCCCTGTCGCGGGCTCTTTAATCCCGAACCCGCACCCAGCCAGACTCAGGAGAGACACAGAAAATGCTGGACCCCGGACTGGGTTTTTTTTATATCTCCCTGTGAGGGTTGGGGAGATACTTTATTTAAAAAAGAAAACCAGGATATAAAAGTGAAATATGTAACTTACACGTCTGTATGCGAGGGCTTTCTGTTGCTTCTGTCTTCTCCTGTGCCCTCCTGTATTTCTATTACTGTCGCTACTATACAATTAGAATTTTCTCTATGCATTATGTTCTACTACTCTTACTTCTGTAGTACTACTGCTGTTACTAGTATAGAGCAATGGTTTTCTCTTATAGAGCCTGCTCTGTCCTTAATTCCTCTCTCTGGGATTTCTTCTTCTTCTTCTTTTTTTTTGTTCTTTGTTAGTGGCCAACCTGAGAGTACTTGGACCTTCCCACGTTGTGCTGTGCTTCGCTGAGCCTCTACACTTCCTTTTCCTCTGGACCGTCCACTCCCTTTGGAGGGAAAAAACCGCCTTCTTTCATCGGCTGCTTTGCTCTGTGTGCTGGGGGCCGCAGAGCTTCCAAAACACGCGTCTCCCCCCACCCCGTGTCAAGGTTGCAGCCTTATTGGCAACTCTGCCGTGCCCAGCTGGGGGAAAGCTCAAGGAAGGCAGCGCCGGGCCTGCAATCCTGCCCACCCCTTGATTGTTAAAAAACCAATTGCTTCCCTAGCAGCTTTAGTTCTGCAGTGGGCAAAGTGAGATTCTGCCGCTAGTAAAAAAAAATGTGCGAGCTGCACAGACTGGCATTTCTCTCTCCTTTCCACTTTGACGTCGTTATATTTTGAAATAAGCCCAGATTGAGGTGTGCTTCTGGTTAAAATGTGAACTGCGTAACTCAGGCGGTGATTCTCTGCGCAGGGCTTCTGCCCTTCCAGGTTCTTCGGTGGACACAGTCCAGATCTGCGCACGGGACCCTTCCCAGCCTGGGACCCCTGCCTGGGCTGCCTTAATGAATAAACCACAGTTGGCTGGGTTTGGTTATCCCCTGCCTGAACATTTGACAGTGCCACCTAGAGCTGTAGTTCAGCACATCTGGAAAGTTGGAAAGGCGGCCTTAAATTATAAAATCAACACATTCGTGCTGTCTAATAAAACGTCTGACGCAGATGTCTTTCGGAGTTACAAATTGCGTGTCTCGAGGGATTTTTCCCAGCCCCAATCTGTCTCTGTCACCCTGTGATAACCAGCCCGGACGAGGGGAGGATGAGCTGTCACAAAGCTGGCTGCGCTTGTTTCTGTCCATTAGCTGCAGAATTTGGAGCCCGAAGGCCCCCATAGATCTCTGCAGAGCATTATTTTAATGATGTTTCTGTAAGTGGCGCCTCAGCAGAACAAGGGCTGCTGAAGGGCAATTACTCATGTGTTGTTTTGCAACTCTCTTTCTTCTCCCTCCCCCCGTGTGCAAACTCACACACGTGCAAATGCACACACATAATCCTGCTTTCTGCCTCCACCAAGCTCTTGATTTACCAGCTTTTTAAAGTACGGTTCTTATCTGCCCCCGAGATAAGGGCCAGTTAGCTGCTAGTGGACCCGTGATATAAAGTGCGCCTATGTGTGGAGGTTCTACTTCATTCAGCGCATGGGCCTGCAAAAGACACCCTTGTGGGACACCACCAGATGTCCTCCTGTAGCAGTCGGTCTCCGCTTGCAGAAGTTCTGAAGTGCCTTGCAGAACTGGGGTGACGCGCTGCCGGTTTGACTTCAGTTGTGCTCTGGGGGGGTCTCCTTCGGGTTGCACCGGCCCCCATGCTTCTGAAGCATTTGGGAACCCCAAATTAGAAAAGACACCCTGCTCGAGGGTCTGTTGCAAAGGCGGTGTCCACCCTGAGACGCCTTCATATGTTGGCCAGCAGCTTCCAAGGCTTGTTACCGCGCGAGCCGTCCTGGTGGCATTTGGCGAGGAGTTCCCGGAGTACCCGTGATGGCTCTTTTCTGGAATTTGGTTGGGAGGAAGACTCACCTCCTCTCTCGATTACCGTGGGGTTGGACTTGGGGTTCACAGTCCGCCGGAAGGTAGTTGGTTTGGTTGCAGCTTGGTGCAAAAAAGGGGAAAAAAAGAACCTCTTGCAATCTGTAAGCCATGGGTTAGTGTGATGTGTGAACCCAGGCAGTAAATGGTGATTGAACCAGCAGGCTGTTGCAATCTGTAAACTATAGCTTGTGGCAATGAGTGAAGCCAGCCAATCGCAGCTTATTCATGAGCAAAATGGACCATGGTTTAATCTGACCTCTGAAACCAGCACGAGCGTTTTGGATCGTTAAGTCCCGGGCATCCCGTCCTGCGCAATGCAGAAGGAGCAGCGCCCTGGCAGGGGTGGCGGAGGCTTTTGGGCCAGGCCCAGGCTTGGTGGCGCTTGTGTGCGTGCGCCACTAGATTTAAGCGAGGGCGAGCACGAGGGGCAGGCTGGAGGGACAGTGGCACTTTGTGTGAGCTGCACACTGCACCCATTGTGTGTCCAGCCCAGCCTGCTCCGTTGGGGTGGCCGAACAGAGGCTGGAGTGTGCCTCTCCCGGGCAGGGCCGGCCTGCGCGGTGCCCTTGACCTGTCCCCAGATGACCCTCCTCTGGCTCTGCCCCTCCCAGCTGGAGGCCACCATGGACTTGGCCGAGCGCAGGCAGATCCGCTCTGCCATCCGAGAGCTGCGGCGGCAGGAACTGGAGCGCGACGAGGAGGCCCTGGCGTCCAAGCGCTCCCGGACGGAGCGAAGCGCGGAGCGGCAGGAGAACAAGGAGAACCGGCTGAGGTGGGTCAGGGCAGCGGGGCGGCCTCTTCTCTTCTATAGCCCTCCTGGGCAGAAAGCCCAGGCATCTCGCTTGCCACACCTTTGGCCTGTCCGCAGTGAGTTGTGGCTGATCCCGCAGACCCGGCCTCTCCCTCCCCCCGTCTTGGGGTGCCCAGCAGCTTGAACGCTGCCCTCCCCAAATGCCTGTCTTCCAGGGGAGAAGAGAGCTCTGCGGGCACCCCCATAGCATCGGGCCGGGTGATGCTGCCTGCCTTCATCCTTGGCCCCAAAAGCCGGAGCTCTCCCCTGGTTCCCATCACGGCTCTCCCCCGTCCTAAGAAACTTGGGCGCCTCTTTGAAGTGATGCTCTCCTCTCGGCCTCTTGTTCCTTCAGGTCCTGGCAGCGAGAGGAGGAGCAGCGACAGCAGAAATCTCTGGACGCCCTTTCCAGAAAGCTGGAGACCATCCGGGATGTGGAAGAGCTGACCGCCTTGGTGAGTCCCCACTGAAGCGGGGTTTGCCCTCTGGGGAGGTCTCTTCCTGAATCCGGAGGAGCCTGGACAGCAGGACAGGCCTTCCCGCTTTCCTGAAGAAGGTGGTATACAGAGCACTCTGTCCCCCAGTTTTTTCCCAGCACAACAGCCCTGCGAGGGAGTGTCCGGCCCGAAGATGCTCGGGGAGTTTCTGTGGCTGAGGACGGGGTTGAACCTGGATCTCTCCGGTCCAGCTTGGCACTTTAGTTACTACCCTGCGCTGTCTCTTCGGTTCGGGGCTGAGCGGCCTTGGGACCAGTTGGTCTGCAAATGCAAATGTTGGCCTGCAAATGTGACCTGTGTTCCCTGGGCCCCACACCTACCCCCAGCTGCTTTCCTCCAGAGCTGCTGCGGGATTGCAGTTGCAATCTGACCTGTGTGTGCTGCCTTTTACTGCTTTAATGTTAATTCAGTTTATATTGAGAAACCCAGGCTTTCCTCCTGGCCATCAACGCTTTTGGGAGTGTGACCTCTGAAAGCCTTCAAAGCATTTCATGCCAGCCCCCTCCATCTCGCTTGTAAACACTAGTTTCAAAGTTCACAATTTGCCCTTCTTAATGATTGGTGAGCATGAGTGCAGGGCACCCGAAGCAGATGGCAGAGCAGCGGTGCAGGGAGGAAATAAATGAAACGCACCCCGACACGACCACCCCGATTGCCGAAGATAACGTGCGTCTCGTTGTAGAGCAACCTTTTGAGACGTGATGCTTACGTGATGGCACGGAGGCCAGGAAAGAGATCAAAATGGCTTACGTGGCTGAGCTCTTCTGATGGTTGGATGTTGTGAGGACACGTCTTGCGGGGTGCAGCTTCTGGGGCTTGGCTGTGGAGTGACTGGCCGTTGTGGCTTTTGGGGACGTGTCTTCGGCTTCCCAGGCCCTGAAGTGTCCAGGCGTCCCCATCCAAGGATGAGCCAGGGCCGGTCTTGCTTAGCATCTGAGATCAGCCGAGTTTGGCTAATAGGACCGAGGAGGGCGGTTGGGGCGGAGTGGGGGGAGCCAGAAGCCCCTGTGTTCCTGGGGGTGGCCCTGCAGGGGGTATGGCCCCCAACCACAAGTGTGTTTGCGGCAGGAATGGGATTTGAATCCGGGGCATCTCTGTTCACGCTGTAGCTCGGAGCCACCGGTCACCTGGGCTGCTTCCTTGAAGCAGGACCAGAGGAGCTTGGTGGACGGGGGAGGCTCATCGCCTGAAAAACGGGCAGGGCGCTTCTCTGTTTCACTGCCACGGGATGTCCTTATAGGGTAGGAGGGCACAGCTGGAGCCCCCCAGGTCTGCTTATGCCCCCCACCAAACCATGGCTGAGCCTCTGTACCAGAGCCCTTCCGTCATAAGTGGGGTCAGGTTCTGGGAGTTTGCCGAAGTGGGTTGGGCTCTGCTCAGCTTCGTAGGATCAGCCGGGGTGGGTGAGTCTCCGCTGCGCTGCGCTGAGCTCCTGGTGACCTCACAACCACGGCCACGAGGCACTGGCCACAATGCAGAAGTGGTCGCTCATCCCTTCCTCCAGGGGGTTGCTTTGACCTCCGCTCTAGCTACAGATCTGGGATCTCGTGGTGGTCCCCCATCAGCGTATGAGCTGCGTCCGACTAGTCGCAGCCACCTTTCTAGACGGGCCAGCGGAAGGAATGAGACGCCTGAGCCTTTGCTGACTTTTCTTCCCTTCTTAGCTGCGAGGAACTAGTGAATACGAGGAACGCAAACTGATCCGGGCCTCTATCCGCAAACTGCGCGCTGAAGAAGTTGAAGGTACGCTACCAGCAGGGTTGCACCCCCAGAGAGGTGTGGGCGGGCGTGGGCGTGGAGTCCTTTTCCAGGAAGGGGTGGCGTGCTGAGCGGGACCGTGGCGTCCCCTGGTCACCAGGCTCTTCTAAACAAGATTCCCGAAACGATCCCAGCCTGCCTGAAGCCGTTTCTTCTCCTTTTCTCAAGCTGCAACTTTGGCGGGGAAGGCTTGCAATAACCGGAGGGCCACCGATACCGCTCTGGCACCCAGGGAGCCCGAAGACAATGCGGCAGGAGACGGTGATTTGCAGGTGAGCAGAGCTGCAGCATCGCTCGTCCCAGTGCCAGAAAGCAGGGAGGCTCCCGTCAGGTTTTCCCTTGGGCGTGGGACGTTTTCATCTCGGCAGCAGATCTTGCTTGCTGGCCCTCTTAGGTAGCTTTTGGGGCAGCACTCTGTACATGCTTTAGGGCTGCGGTTCCCAGAATTCCATGCCAGGCTAGTTGGCCCCAGCTGATAATGATGGAGCGGACAACCCGCAGCTTTTCAGAAGCCGCTGGACTCTAACTCCCAGCATCTCTCTGATGGCCGCACTCCCTAGGAATGTTGGGAGTTGCAGTCTAGCAACGCCTGAAGGCCCCCAGATTTCCTGCCTGAGGGATATGGCAGCTGGCTGCGTTCCCATAGCATATTAGGCGAGGCTTAAAAAGGTTGGGTAGTTCATCATGCGGGATATGATGGAAACCCAGCTGTTGCCTCAGCGCAAGGGCTGAATCAGGTGCATCGTACGCCGTCTTTGTCTGGGCACCGCTTGTGCTGTAGGCATGGCCATTGGCTTTCGCCAGCCTGGGTTTCGTGTGTCGTGCGAATATGCCACTTGCTGGGTTTGCACGCCATACCTGTGGCTGAGTAAACCATCTGTTTCTCAGCTACTTTTCTGTGTTCCCGCCACACGCTGGACTGTAAAGGGCTCATGTGTGCAGGATCTGATCCTTCATTAGCTTAGGCTCAGGTGTGTGGTGTGCTTCGTCAACCAGGCAATTAAATTAAATTAAATTAAATTAAATTAAATTAAATTAAATTAAATTAAATTAAATTAAATTAAATTAAGCCACAAGGTGACTCCTTTGTTACACAGCCGCCGCAAGGGTGGCCTGTTGGTCTGGGTCGAGCTGCTTATCGTGTCCAGTAACCTCCATCTTTGAGTGTTAACGGTTCCCCCGTGAAGTCTCTTGGGAATTCTGCTGCCAGCCTGGCATCTGGCAGAGGCGGGGCCGCCTGGGCAACTCTGGTCCCTGCATCTCTGGAGGGCACCATGTTGGAGAAGGTGCTATTGGTTGTGCGCTGAGCACTTGGCCTTCCCGCTTTCTCCACCAGAGGGCAGCCTCTTCCTCCTAGTCGGCAAGTTAGGGCTCCTAAAGACGGGCTCTTGCCTTGACAAGCGGGCTGGATTACAACTCCCATCATCCTCCACACCCAGTCTGACTGAAGACAGTGGCAGGCGTCCAGCACGTGCGGAGGCCTCTAACTGGAGGTTGTGCTGGATGGGTCAGTGTTTGGCCTGAATTTCCCTTTAGAAAGAAACTTCCTCCAAGTTCAGGGACTGGGTGTGCCCTGGACCCTTCCTGCAGGGAGAAAGCTCAATTGCAACCCTCCTGCTAGATTTCTGCATGGAGGAATTGGTCATATCTGAGTGCATCTGAACCACATAACCATTTAAATGCACTTCACAGTTTTTGGGAGGGGAAGAGTGAGGATGCACCACGTGCCCAAGATTTTCAAGGGATTTCCCTTTTGCGGGTGGGGGGAAAGGTGGAAAAGAAGGGGTTTCTCCTTTGCTTCTAACCTACCTTAAGCTGATCTGGGGACTTGCATGCAATCTTCACGCTGCTCTGCTTCCAAATACTTCTGCTGAAGCAGTTGTGGTTCAGGTCTGCCAAGACGCCGTGGTCGGGCTTTGGGGTGAGCTCTTCCCTCCCCGAGATGTCAGCCTCGGCGTATTGCAGCCGCTGCCTCTGCTCTTCCTTTCCTGAACGAAGCCCCCAGGCCAGATCGCTCCCAGTCTTCCCCACCCTCCCATCACACCTGGCAGCAGCTGCGGGGGCTTTCTAATGCCCGGCTGCCTCCTAGCAATGTGGGACCAAGGCCAGGAGCGTTGGGGGGAGGCTGCGCTTTGTCACTTAGCAGCTGCTGCTACCTTGTACGTGTCTGCGCATTCCTGCACACGGGTGTCTAGAGAGGAGCAGAGGGGTGGAGAAGGGCATCTTCGTCTTCAACACGGCCTTATTTAAAAGAATGGGCACCTCCGGGCCTGGCCGGGTGGATTCGACGGGGCAGGGAAGCGAGGGAGGAGTGTGTGTGCATGCATGTGCACGAGGGTATACATGCTGTCCCTGGCAGGCTTGGGTTAAATCTTTGCTCCTCTCCTGGTTCAAGATGCCACATCCTGACTGAAAATGTACTAATTTGGGATGCCCTGGCTGGTGCAGAGCGATGCAGCTTCCCAGCGAATATCAGGCGGATTCTGTTCATTTTGCACCGCTTGCTCAGGGCCGCAGCCTGCGCCCCCCGCCCAAAAGACTGAAAGTCCGTTGGGGGTGGGAGGGAGCTTTTATCTCCTCGGCATTGCACAGGGAGAGCAAGGGCGTGTGCTGAGAACGGCCGCCCAGCCCAGACGGTCACTGCTTGTTCGGGGCGTGTGTGCTAACTGGACCGGACCGTGACGTGTGCGGGGCTTTGCTGAACGGAGCGTGTGGGCTGAGGCTGCGCTTTCCTTTCGGCTGCCTCCAGGTGCAGGAGCCAGCAGAGCAGGAGCTGATCCAAGCCCCGATCCAGGAGCAGCTGGAATCCAAGGCCGAAGATGCTCCAGGTGAGGCCAGGCCAAGCGTGGGCTGGGCGGGACGCAGGCGCGGAGGCAGGCCTCTTTGCGTGAGGGCGCTCGTAGAGGGAGGAAGGCCTGGTTGGGGGTGGAAAACAAAGGCCTGCCCCAGCTGGAGCCTGCAGTGGGCTGGCCTGTGACGGCGCTGGCGGGGATGATGGGAGTTGTGGACAGCACGTGTCGACTGGAGAGGCTTCTTTCTGGGAGAGGCAGAGTCTCTTGACCACCTTCCGCCCCAACAGATTCTTCTTTGGGGACTGTTCTGCTCCTGGAAGCCGTCCCCGAGCCGGCTTCTTTCCTGGAGGGCAGGACGGAGCCCGAGGCGAGCGGCGAAGACCCCGGGTCCAGCTCCCACGACGAGGACTCCGGCCCCGAACCACAGCCTTCTTCCCAGGCGGAGAAGGACGCGGGAGGCCTGGCACCCCCCAAAGACAGGGGGGCGCTGAGCTCCTCCAGAGGAGAGGCCGCCACTGAAACCATGAGGGAGGAGCAGCCGGCGATGGGCGACGCTGGGGGGGACGCCCTCCTGGACGGAGAATCCTGCCCAAAGCTTTCAAGCCAGAGGACAGAGGTGCCTTGGCAAACCTGAGATTTCTCTGGGTTGGCTGGGAATTGGGTTAGGGGCAGTCCCAGCGGGAATGGACTCATTACGGGCTGCGTCTGACCCATCAAAATTACATTGACAAAATGTAAGCTGGACGAGGGGTGTGCAAAAGCTGAAGACCTCTGGCTCTCCAAAGAGAAATCCCCTTCCGAACATCTGGGGGCCGGGGAGGACTCTGGCCCTGGTTTTCACGGTGATGGAGGAACCCTCCAGATGGGGGGCGGGGAGGGAGGTCAACCCTCAGACTTTTCAGCAGTAGCCATGCCCGGTGGGGCGTTCTGGGAATTGGCATCCCCCGTCTGCGAGGTGAGAGCTGTCCGCAATTGTGAGTCTTCGAACCCCCCAAGGGGAGAGGCGGCAGTCAAATTTGACATTCCCTCCTCTTTCTTGTCTTTCGGGGGGACGTTTGGAGTGGGGCCGAACAAAAGGGGTTTCCTGAGCTTTGTGCTCCCCCCCCCCGCCTCATGGCAGCCCCGACCACTTAAACCAGTGTTGTCCAAACTTGGCCACTTTAAGATGAGTGG